CGAGTCCAGTGTCGGCGGAGGAAAGGCGTCCCGCCGCCCCGAGGACCTGGCATTCTCACTTCCGGTCTCTCCGGAGGCTCCCATTGCTCAGCCAATGAAAATGTCAACAAATTGACGCAAAAACCCTTAAAACCCCGGGCATCAGTGCCATAGGAACCAGCGGCCTCTGGATGCGTCCAGGGCCGAGGACTGAGTGTGAGGCGCTTCCGTGCGGACGTGGTTGCCCGCGTGTTCGGGGACCGGGATAGACGGCCCCCCGCCCGCCTGGTGTCTTAGGGCGCACGGAGCTCCTTCCTGAAATGCTCACTGTACGAGCCGAAAGGAGAATTTCTGTACATTTACTCTCTGGGGAGAAGCGGAGCGAATCCTAACGGCTGGAGCCGTTGGAGACTTTCTCGTTATCATCATCATTATATTAACTCCCTTTTCATGGGCGCTGGGTTATTTGCCAGATAAACGCTCCTAAACGCTCCTGTGTATGAACTAGTTCAACCCTCTCGTTAGCCAAGTCCCACGGCGCCCTGTCTCAGGTCTGCACACGGGAGGGGGGGGGAAAAAAAAACTCCCCTCGGGTAGAGGCCGGTCCAGCCCACTCCCAGCAGCCGTGCGGACCAGGAGCCCTCGCTGCCTCTTCATTGGCTTCTGCAGGCTTCCTCTCCTTCTAATGTGTATTTCACAGAATAATACCAGTCCCAGAAAGCCGCACTGCCCAGGCTTTTTTAAAGAAATCTCTGTTAAGCCTTCTATTCATTAAGCTTTAGCTAATATGTGAGTAAATACATTCCCTGACGTTTGATACCGCATTCGTTTTCTTAATGTAATGGTCCGACTTACCGCCTTGATACTATTGTCACGTAATGGGTGATGTCACCTACATTGGTTTAAGCCTCTTTTTTTGTGTGGGGAGGGAGTTGCCATGTAGAGTGATGACTCATCAGGTAACTGGTGGCCCCGTGCACGGATTTGTGCACATTGAAAGGAAATTAATTAGAAGAAATATTTTAATATCGCTGTTCACCCTTTCTCAACATAACCCACGGCCAAAGGTGGAATGTTCGGCCCCACGAGGAATCGGGCTCCCTCCTCTCTGGTTCTGGGTAGCCTTTTATACATATAGATGTTTTTGCTAAATTTTTGCAACGTAAGAAGAAAATGAACAGGGTTGGTAACCTCTTTCTAGTCCTTGTGTGTCCTCTGAGATATAAGTTCCTAAAACAGCCAATTAAGATAGTCCTATAAACCAGCTGTAATTTGAATTAAACACTAAATGATCCATATACTTTACTTTTAGCTGGGATAGGAGGCTTGCTTGAATTTTGAGTATCATAGCAATTTCATGTCAATTTTCATTAAACTAGAAGGCATTTTAACTTTGGTTGTAACCTCAGTTGGTAAGAAAGCAAAAGTAGATTTAGATTTGTAGGTAAATTGAAAGGTGGTTTTTTAAAATTGTATTGAAGATGAGTTTTTTAGCTTTTTCCAGGTCTTGCCCATACCACATTCTAGGCCTCTTGTTAATTATAATAGAAAGTTAACATTTGTATAACCAGTTGCCCTTCGAAAGTCTCTGAGTCTTGTAACCAGTCTGGGAAGTACCTTTCTTCCGTATTATTTGTTCTCTGACTGTTTAACCTTTAACATGTTTAGGATGACAATGAAGATAATTCAAATGACGGGACCCAGCCATGCAAAAGGAGGCGGATGGGCTCCGGAGACAGCTCCCGGAGCTGCGAGACCTCCAGCCAGGACCTTGGGTACTGTCCCTCGTGGCTTGTCATAGCTCTGTGGTGTGTTTCTCTCCTCTGCTTTGCTCTCCCTCCTCCGCCCCCAGCCCTGGAAGAGGCCGTTCTCAAAAATTGTAGAGTATGTTTGTCATGTTTTACAGTATGACACCAAAGTGGCTTTTGTTCTCAGTGCAATTTTTTTTTAATTTGGTAAAATGCACATAAAATTCACCATTTAAACTATTTTAAAGTGTATAGTTCAGTGGCATTAATTCCATTCATAGTGTCGTCTAGCCATCACCACCACCCATTTCCAAAACGTTTTCACTACCAAAAGCAGAAACTGCATGACCATCAAGCACTAGACTAAATTCTCGTTTCCCTGCTCCCCAGCCCCTGGCAGCCAGCACTGTGTCATTATGAATGTGCGTGTTTGAGGCACCTGGTGGAAGTGGAATTATACAATGTTCATTTTGTGTCTGGCTATGTCTTCAAAGCACATCCATGTAGTAGCATGGATCAGACTTCTCTTTACGGCTGAACGATACTGCGTGGTATGGAGGTACCGTGTTCGCTTATCCATTCTTCCGCTGATGGACGTTGGGTTCTTCCCACCTTTTGGTTGTAATCATGTTGCTGTGAACATTGGTATATACGTACCTGTTCAGAGTCCTGTTTCCTAGTCCTAGTTAGAGTATATGGTAATTCTATGTTTTCCACAGGAGACGCACCATTTCATATTCCTACCCAGAGTGTACAAAGTTTCCCATTTCCTATCCTTATCAGTTTATGTCAGCCGAAGGTCATTGGGGTCAATTCAATGCCAATAGGAATTCCCAATTTGGGGTGCAGCGAAGGAAACTTCATTCAGTGCAAACAGCCGCCCTGGGACCAGGCTCCCCTCTGGGAAACCACTCAGTGGGGGAAACAGTTCTCAGGCTTAGGTGGCAGCTTGAGGCAGAGGGAAGCTGGCTTATGGAGACAGAATTCCCACCCCTAGTCCCTGGTTGGTCTGTCCTGTAAATGAGGGCTCCAGATCCTTACAGATTGATGAGGCCGAAAGTCACTGTCCTGATTGGGCAGAAAAGAGATGCTCTGATTGGACGGTGAAGAAGGTGATGGATATGGCTGTCCCACAGGAATGGACGGGAAAGCCTCCGTCCTATTGGTTGAAATGGGATCCAGGGAACTTCGTAAGGGCTGGCTCAGGCGCAGGCGCAGGAACAGGCAGGCAGCCCCTGCAGGCTCCTCCTGATGTGGGGTTTGCAGGAGAGGCCCCTGTGCAGAAATGTTTGCGAGGCTCTTTTTGAATTCGTTTTATGTTTTTTAATTTAAGCCCAGTGGAGCCACCGGAAGCCCTTCTTCACAGGTATCTTTCTGGTGTTTTTTTTGAGTAGCTATTTTAAAGCCATGGAGTGGTATCTCATTGCGATTTGATTTGAACTTCCATAATGACTAATGATGTTGAGCATCATTTCATGTGCTTATTCCCTCTTGTATATCTTCTTTGGAGAAATGTCTGTTCAAGTTTTTTTGCCCATTTTTAAATTGGATTGATTGTTTTTTTGTTGTTGAGTTGCAGTTTTTTATATCTTCTGGATATTAATCCCTTATCAGGTACACAATTTGCAAATATTTTCTCTCATTTTGTGGGCTGTCTTTTCATTCTGTCGATTATGTCCTTTCATGCACAAGTATTTAAATTTTGCCAAATTCCTCGTTATCTTTTTTTTGCTTGTGCTTTTTAGTATCATATCTAGAACCTATTTACCTCCTATGTTTCCGTCTAAGAGTCTTCTAGTTTTAGTTCTTATATTTAGGTTGTTGATCCATTTTTTGAGTTAATTTTTGTATGTAATATGAGGTAAGGGTCCAGTGTCCCAGCACCATCTTGGAGAAAATGTTCTTTTTGTTCATTACTTTTTACTGGATTGATGCCTAACGTCGTGTCACCTTCTTGCCTCTGGTACCCGCTGAGGAGATTCAGAGGTTGGGTCGGCCTGGGCCCAGGAAGCTGTCGTCTGCCGTTGAGGATGGGGGCTGATCCGCAGGGCACGAGGTCCGGTCTTTGCCTCTGGATTTGTGGCGTCAGTGAGAACAAATAATTATGGGTTATAGTTCAGTTTATTGAGAAATAGGTTTTTACAGTCCTGCTTTCTCGGCTTCTTGAGAATCACTTCACATCTGGAGTGGATGAAATAGCAGCTAAGGGTGTCAAGCTCACGAGAGAGAACTCGGAACTGGTGCCTCCACCTGCTTCGGCCTTAACGCTCGAGGCTTGGTTCTTTGTGGCGTGCGGAGGGCAGCGTTCCCATCGCCCTTTGTTTTGGCGTTCAAGGTGGTGGTTCCTTTCCCTCCACCTGCTGCGTGGTTTCCTGTGATAACGTACGAAATCCTGGGGATGTCGTTGTATTGCCGTGTTCTGGAAGACTGAGAATTAAATAATTAAAATAGTTTTTCAGTCCTGGCTGGTGTTGCTCAGTGGGTTGGGCGTCATCCTGTGCACCGTGAGGTTGCGCGTTTGATTCCAGTTCACAGGGCACATGCCCGGGATTTAGGGCTTTATTTCCAGTGGGGGGTGTGCAGGAGGCAGTCAGTCGATGGATGTTTCTTTCTTTTTTGTTTTAAATATATTTTTATTGATTTCAGAGGGAAAGGGAGAGGGAGAGAGATAGAAACATCAATGATGAGAGAGAATCATTGACCGGCTGCCTCCTGCACGCCCCCTACTGGGGACCCAGCCTGCAACCCAGGCATGTGCCCTGACCAGGAATCAATGGACCCATCACCTCCTGGTTCATAGGTCAGTGCTCAACCACTGAGCCACACCGGCCAGGCAAAAAAAAAAATAACCTTAAAAATAACATTGCATAGAAGCCACATGTAAGGCATAATGTGTATCTGTGTCTAGCTTTAGCTACTACCCAGCAGAAAACTTGATCGAGTACAAATGGCCGCCCGATGAGACGGGAGAGTACTGCATGCTTCAGGAGCAGGTCAGCGAGTACCTGGGGGTGACCTCCTTCAAACGGAAGTACCCAGGTACCGAGTCTCAGTTCCTGTAACAGGTTGATCTGACTGTAACTGTAGTGATGTTTTTGTTGGGCTGAGTGTGGATTATCTATGTGCTTATGTTCCTCTGCTGGCCGATCTCCGTTCACTTCTGGCCTCCCAGCACCTCTCTGTGTATCAGTTTGTTCCTTTGCCTTCTAAACTGATTGAAAAGCAAAATGAGGGCGATAAGTTTCCCGGGGAAACTTTTAGAAAAATAATTGTATAGCGACATGAGCCAAGGGCTTTGCTTTGCAGCCCCAGGAGAGGAGGCGGCTACGTACATGCACAGGGTCCGAATGCGAGAAGGGCTACATCCTTCAGCTGTTTTAACGGGATTGGCGATGTACCTGCTTGCTTTGAGTTATTCTATTTTGAGTTTCATTTTAAATTTTATTTCTTGAATTTAAAGATGGATTCTGTGTATAACACTTGGAATATATAATATGAAGTACTTTTTAAAGTCTTGGAATATTTTAACTTTTTAATACTTTTAAAAAGTGTTTTTAGCTTTTAAAAAATGTTACAAATGCATAATGTTACACAAGCAAACAACTCCTTTTAATAGTCCTTTGTCTTTATTTTTTTCTGGAGATTTAGAGCGACGAGATTTGTCTCATAAGGAGAAACTCTACCTGCGAGAGCTGAACGTCATCACGGAGACGCAGTGCACCCTAGGTAACAGGCGTTCCCGTGAGCTTGGAGAGCTGAGTGCTTACGAGGTGGTGTTGGATGAGTGCTTGTCCTTTTCCTAAAACATCCTACAACATTAATAAAATACACTGAATTATTTTAATGCCAAGTTATTTACTTTATTTTTGATTACTGTTAAAATAAGAAGGAGAACAGTGTATTTAGTGACAGTACCATTTTCTAATAACAGTCACATAAGTGTTAAATGTGCAAGTGTTTTATGTGCAAGATTTGTTTGGTACTTTTTAGAAGTATTGATCCATCTCTCTTAAAAGGCACATTTTGTTCCATTTTTAGTTCCGAATAGTTACCTCCATGCTTTACTTGTAATTTCCCTTTTACAAATATGTTAATGCAGCATGGCTACTTTTAATACAACCGAGGAATTTATCTCAGCAGTTGTCATCATCTGATGCTGTGATATTTGGAAATTGCCCGTCTGACTTGTGTTGTGTGCCAGTGCTTTAAGACTAAGAACTATAATACAGTGGGGCCTTGACTTACGAGTTTAATTCGTTCAGAGACCAAGCTCATTAAGGAGCTCGTAAACTCAAATTACTCTATCAACTCAATGCAAAAAATCGGCTGAGAGACAGCTGGTATCTCAAAAAACTCGTTAGTCGGGACACTCGTAAGTCAAGGCCCCACTGTATATTGAAAATTCTTTGTTTTTTTCATCTGACATCCTATGTTATTGCCACTCGTTAGTATACATGATCATTTAGCCGTTGTTCTAGTAAAGGGATAGATGTTTATAGAACATAAGATCGTACAAAAGAAGCATTTGGCAGAGAAATTGATTTTTTTGCCTTTGCAATGTTGGTAATTTATTTCTCTTTAATTGTTTGACTTTATATTATGAATTCATTTTTATTATTCTCAAACGTATTGAAATGTTTTGCTTGATTGATGGAAGGCTTGTATGTGCAGAGTAGTTTGAATGAGAAGCACATTGTAAAAAGTGGTTTTGCTCATTTAACTTTAATTGGGTTTCTTAACTTGTTTCTGGTCTAAAATAGGTTTAACTGCATTACGCAGTGATGAAGTGATTGATTTAATGATTAAAGAATATCCAGCAAAACATGCTGAGTATTCAGTTATTCTGCAAGAGAAAGAACGCCAGCGCATCACGGACCACTACAAAGAGTACTCGGTGAGTGTCCAGGTGGCTGGCATCGCTTCCTGGGTTTGGGAGACGACACTTTGTGAAGTTATGTGTGACTGCCAGCGGCCATGTTTTTATCTCAGCAAATGCAGCAGCAGAATACGCAGAAAGTGGAAGCCAGCAAAGTGCCCGAGTATATCAAGAAAGCCGCCAAGAAAGCCGCGGAGTTCAACAGCAGCCTGAACCGGGAGCGCATGGAGGAGAGGAGGGCCTACTTCGACTTACAGACACACGTAGGCACCGCCTCTCGCAGCCCTCACCTCGCTTCCTGCGCTGCAGCCGAGCCTCCTCCCTGCTTATCCCTGTCACACTCTGTGCCAGCGGCCCGTCCTTTCTCCCAGAACTTAGGCTGTCATTGCTAAGGTTACGTGTGTGCGTGTGTTTGTGTGCACATGTGCATGTCTGTGCAGGCATGCACGCGTGTGTATACACACATACACGTGTGCGCACGCATGCACATGTGCACACATGCACTTATGGGTGTGACTGCACGTGTGCGCACACGTTTATGCGGAGCATGCATGCTTGTGTGTGCACATGCATGCGTGTGCATGTGTGTGCATATATGGATGTTTGAAAGTGTGTGTGTGCTTGTGTGTGTGCTTGTGCGTGCGCACCCACTGGGGTGTGTCCCCGTGTGCAGTGTCTTTGCTTTGTGGAGTGCATTCTGCTGCAGGGACTGATGCCTCCTGTGTGCTCTGAGGGTGGTGGTCAGATTTCCCTATCAGTTCCCTGACCTTCACTGCCTGTGAGGTTGGAAGTGGTTTTCCTTCCATTTCCCAGACCAGGACATTGAGCTGCAGAGGCTGGGAGCTGCCGGGCCACAGGGCTGTGAAGTGGGTGGGTGTGCCTTCCCTCCGGAGCGGCCGCGGGAGAGGGACCGAGCCCCCTGTAGAGCGGGAGCCTCCACTGTGCCCCTGGGCGGAGCTCCTCACTCTCCTCCTCTCTGGCGGGGGGGGGGGGGGGGCGTGCAGCGAGGGCCTTCCCCTAGCGCCTTGGTCCGAACCTGGGCTCAGTTTTGTGTTGCTCTTCCCGTCCCCCAGGTCATCCAGGTGCCTCAAGGGAAGTACAAGGTGTTACCAACAGAGCGGATCAAGGTCAGCTCCTACCCGGTGGCCCTCATCCCCGGACAGTTCCAGGAATATTACAAAAGGTGGGCAGTGCTTCTTGACCGTCCGCATTGGATGCTGGGCACCTCGGACCCTGGAGGGCCTCCTCAGGGTTCGGCTCCCACCTCCCTGCGTTGTCCGAGGTCTGTGTCTGTGCTCTGCCTCCTGGGTCTGTGGTGGGAACTCCCTTCAGCCAGGACTTGCTTTCAGGTGGAGCATCTGCTGGCGGAGCCTGGCGGCCCCCTCCTTGCCCACTTCCCGTTCTGTGGGCAGGCTCCCTGGAGCGAGTGCGTGCCCCGCAGCACTGGAGCCACGAGAACGTGAGGGGAAGGCAGGCGCGGGCACAGCCCAGACCTGGGGCTCCTCTCACAGCACCCTCCGGGCCACGTGCAGATAAAGTTGAGAAGCCAGGGCTTTGCCTGCCCAGGACATGCAGGGCGGGCACGCCCTGGGCTGCAGCCACACCCCTGCCCTGGCCTCGCCTGGCCTGGCTCCTCTCCACCCCATCTCCCTCCCGGCCTGAGTGAGACCAGGACCAGCACTGACAGGGTTGTGTGTCAGACCCTCGGCTTCTGCTTCGGCTTTAGACCCATTTCCTTCGGACAGAGAAGGTGCCCTCGAGAGTAGTGTCTACGTAGACGACAGGACAGCACTGTTTGCAAGTCACATTTAAATCATGGGTCAGCGAGATCTTTAAAAGTTTCTGGGTACCAAGCCATGTGCTTTGGGTGTGATGTCGTAGCTGAGGGGGCGGCTGGTGCGGCGACTGGTCACGGGGAGCGCCCACCGGCTGTGCGGTCAGCGGGCGGTGCCGTCCCACGCCGTGCAGGAGACATGGAGATGCCCTTTCCTAGAGCACATGCTTCACAAGTGGCTTTCTATAAGTGGCTGCTGAACATTTTTCTCTTTATTTTATTTCATTGATTTCAGAGAGGGAGAGAGAGAGAAACATCCATCAACTGCCTCCTGCACGCCCCCCACTGGGGATGGAGCCCACAACCCGGGCCTGTGCCCTGACCGGGAATCGAACCCTGACCTCCTGGTTCATAGGTTGATGCTCAGCCACTGAGCACACTGGCTGGGCCTGAATGTTTTCTTAATTGGCATCATGGACCAGGCGCTGCCATGACTCACACGGCTGGTTCCCTTCACCCTCCGTGCCCCCCTCTGCATGTGATTGGGAGAGCACACGGGCCGGGGCCTGGGGAGGGGTCCTTGTAGGGTCCGTGCTGCTGCAGCTTCACCTTGTCTGCCGACATTTTCGTTTCGTTTTGTTTCGGGGCTGAGGGTAAGGAGGCCTCGTTTGGCAATTAAGAATCAGTGCGTGTTTTACACTCGGTCTGGTGGACACATGTTCATGCCTTTTATTTATTGTCCCTCCTGGGTCCTCAAAAGGAAGTCTCACTTACTGCCTCTCATCGTTCGTTGAGAAGGTGGAGGCTCTTCGCAGCTCGAAGATGAGCCGTTCCTGGTAACAGTGAAGGGACCCGCACATCTCTGCCTCCAGGTACTCGCCGGATGAGCTGCGCTACTTGCCACTGAACACGGCTCTTTACGAGCCGCCGCTGGATCCGGAGCTGCCCGCGCTCGACAGCGACGGCGACTCGGACGATGCCGAGGACGGGCGAGGTGACGAGAAGAGGAGGAACAAGGGCACTTCGGTGAGAACCTCTGTCCTGGGGAGGCGTCTCCTTTCCCTTGCACGGGTGCTGGTTGCTTGCCTGGAGCTCGAAGTCCCACTGGTGTCGCCGTCCTCAGTCTGAAAACGGCAGTCGCGTGTAGACAAGCTGCACGGCCTCTGGTAGTTGCCACAGCAGCGCGGGCAGGGGTGCCGCACCTGGTGACAGCCGGCACCGCGCCATCCGGTGCGGGGCGCTCCTTCCCGGTGTCCTGTTGCCTGAGGGGTGTTGTCAGGCTCCTTTAGGGAAACGCTGAGGTTCCGTTATGCCGGTGGGTGTTCCTTTCCTGCATGAGGTTTTTCCCAGCGAAATGCATTGGCCATCAGTGTGCGCTGTGGAGTGCAGGACAGGTTCTGATTTACTCCTCCCTGCTTCTCCGCGGCCCCCGAACCTGACAGGTGCTGCCGTTGGGCGGGCAGTGGCCGGTGAAACACGGTTAGTGACCGGCCGTGTTCACAAGGAGGAGGCCGCCCAGTTAGCGCCGTGTCGCCCCTCCTCCTGTCGCGCCGGCTGGCGAGGGCACGCCTCGCTGATGCGACCACGCTGCTAGTGGGGGTGTAAGTAACCCAACATCTCGGAGGGCACTGCGACAGCTTATGCCAAGGTGGACAAGTTCCGCAGCATGCGATCCATCGCAAATACACTAAAACTGTACCCAAAGGACCCAGTCAGATGCTGACAAAATTTAATTAGAAAACAGATGTCCATTGGCGTGTTAATAGTAATTTTTACTGTGGAAACTAGAGGTGAATCTCATGTTCACAGTGGGGCAATGTGTTACATTACATGATGGAAACACAGTCCAGAGAACATTTAATTATGTGACGAAATGCACATAACGCTTAAAAAACATAAGGCACAGTTCACACACGTGCACACAGTGTAATCCAGTTGTTTTGTAAAACCAGGGTCCGTGTGTTGTGAGTGACTGGGTGTCTGCGTGTGCAGACATGGTATTTTAATTTCCAGTTTTCGTAGTTTATATGAACATAACGTTGCCGCTTTAAGCAGGAAGTATTAAGGTAAAAGTGAATTAAGTGACCAGATTCTGAACTCCTAAACTTTGAGCATCGAAACTATGTCGGTGACCTGGCCCCACGCGTCTACCAGGAGACACGTGTGCGGGGCGAGCTCGCTCCGTGACCCCTGTCCCTCAGCAGAATGCCCGAGCACGTCTAGAAGTTTCTTTTTAAGCGATACTGTTGCATGGAGCGAGCATGCTACCGTGGCGCGGCGCGGCCTGGGCTGCGATGGCCACGGAGGCGACTGTCCCTGGGAGACGGGCTGATGCGACAGGTGCGTGACTCCTGCCTTGGCTCGTTGAGTCTCCACCAGACGACGTTTCTTATATTTAGAATTATCTCTTCGTTTGTAAGTCGATGGAACGTGAAAGATTGTTGGAATGTGTTCTGTGGTTTTCACGATTCCCTCAAACCTGTGTGAATGCCAAGGAATGTGCCTTTGCCCGCAGGACAGCTCCTCCGGCAACGTGTCCGAGGGCGAAGGCCTTCCCGACAGCCAGGAGGAGCCTCTCCCGGGGAGACCGCGGCCCAAGGACAAAGCGGCCACACCGAGGAAGGACGCTGCCAAGCGCTCGGTGCTGCCCAAGTCCGCCCCCGGGTACAAGGTAGAAGAGAAAAGCCCCTGACCAGCCTCCTTCCCGACCAGCCTCTCCCTGAAATGTTTGCCTTTGAACCTCCGCGTGGTGGAGCCGCTGCTGCCGCGCTCGCCCCTCTGGCCTGTGCTGTCCGCTCCTCCTGTCGGCTCTGTCTCCTGGTGGCTTCCTGTCACTTTGGCTGTGGTTTAGCTTCTGTTTTCTGTATGTGTACAGCTTCTAAGAGAACCTTTTTTTTTTTTGCTTTTAAATAATAAGCAGGCAAGTATGGGCTTTTAAAACATTATTTTCTAGGCAGGACTTTACACTTTGTTTCCTCGGAGTAAAGGCCGTAGCTGTCGGACATCGTGCGAACCCTGGTATGTAGGAGAAGGGCCACCGTGCAGGCTCCGTCGAGGGCCCGCTGTGACCTGGGATGGTTTCAGCCACTGGTCAGGTTCCGCTGGCTCTGAGGGAGGTAGTAAGACTGACTGCGGTCGTGGTGTTAGCATCGCTGGGCAAGAGCGTGTGGAACAGTGTTTCGTGGGGCAGCGGCTCGGCACGCCTGTTCCGTGTTTGGTCTGGCTGCGCTCAGAGTCGGGCAGCAGGCTGTCGGCGATACTATGGTGTCATTTCCGCCCGATGTCCCCTTCCCCTTCGGAGGGTTAGGCGGCTTGTAGGGGGGATTCAGGAAACCGCCCACGGGGGAGGCTGCACAGGTTCATGTTTTGGGTGGTGAAGTGAACATACAGTGTCTGGAATGCCTGTTACTGTGGTTAGGAAGGTGTTTGAAAGGGCTGTCAGGAGTGGGTGGTGAGGAGGTTTTGCCGAGTAGAATTGTAGCGCTTGTCCTGAGTCAGAGCTGGGACTGGAGGGAGAAGAGCAGGTCCCAGGAGCTCCAGCCTCAGCCCGTGGCGGCCACCCCCCCGCCCTGCACGCGGCCTTCCCCTGAAAGGAGCAGCGCTCAGCAGTGTATTCCACTCTAGGTTAGAAAATGCCTTTATGTAATCAACTGACACGCTCGTGTGTTTCAGCCTCGGGCAGACAATGCAGCGTCACCCAGCAGGGCTGGCTTTCGGGCTGTTCACAGGCAGTGGCTGCGTGATTTTTATACTTGTATTCACATGTATAGCTTATATCATTTTTTAAACTAAAGGTTTAAGTTAACACTTAAATCACTAAAAGCAAATAAACTCCAAAGATTAAGTTTGGAAAGTTAGCGTGCGGGTGCCACACGCGGGCTGTGGTCTGCGGGGAATGGCCGCGAGCGCACTGGCCGAGGTGGAGACTGTCAGTGACACGGGAATCATGGCCAGGGGGCGGGGGGCGGGGGTGGAGCGGGAATGGAGACGCGTGCTGTGGGACTGACTGTGGAGGGCACAGATCCCCTCCGTCCGGACTGGCGGGAGCCTGGCTGCGGAACACGCACGGCCTCCTGGACGGAGCCGCGTCAGCGTTTCACAGTCTGGGGCGGCCAGTATTAGACTCAGTACCCTGCTGTGAACACGTTTATCAAAAGTTAACCTCTATGAAAGTATTAATAAGCCAAGATGTGCCTAAATATTAGGATACTTCAAGCCGAAGGTCATGGATGTAAATGTTTAAACGCACCTGATGTCTTGCTTGCCCTTAACGCGTAGGACAGTGTTGTTTAGGTTACGTTAACCTGAGATTAAAGCATTCTTGCTAGGACTCAGGCCCACGTCACAAGTACAGAATTAAACTGTATTAGTGCTACCGTGAACGTCTCACTCACCTTCGGTTACGTTTTAAGCAGGAAAACAGGTGTGTTGTGAGCCTTTGGTTGGCATGCTAAGAACTATTGGGATGAGTATTAGTTTTCTTGTCAGTAGTGAAGCTGAGGTTGCGGTAGTTACAGTGGAACCGAATTATTGTCAGACGTGCCAGGGGTGTTCTGTTCATTGCTCTTTGGGGGGCTCTGCCCACTCCCCATCCTGCTGCCCTGAATCCCCCGTCCCTGAGACGCCTCTCCCCTAGCGACTGACTGCTGTCGCGGGCCGAGTCCTGGCGTAGACACTGGCTTCTGACAGCCGGCGAGGCCGAGGGAACAGAGGGTTTCTGTGCTGAGCCCCGCAGCATCTTGGAAATGCTGGAAGCGCCCTCTCATGTGCTCCCCCTCCCCCTCCACCCGTCTCTCTGTTCTCAAGATGAAGACTGCCGGGTAAGGAGAATTGTAAGTGGTTTAACATACATGATGTTAAGCTTAGAAGTTAAACCTCGGATTTCCATGGCGTCCCTTTTATCATAGGTGCCTCGTGTGTGTATTTCAGTGATTGTGGGACTTGAATTGATCTAGAATGTGAATGACTAGCCTTTCGACGTCTGTAAGGGTCTCCTGTGAGGCGCTCTCCTTATAGAATTCCGTGTCGTGCGGCTCCTTCCTGGACGCGTCGCCATCGGCACGGCGAGTGCGTGTCTGACCTCAACTGCGGGTGTTAGAGAAGCGTGACTTTCACATGCAGTGCCGGTAACGGAGCCAACAGGTGGTTCTTATCTGGGTAGATGGAGGGGTCACTTCCGCTGTACATGATGGCAGTGACAGGTCTGACCATAACGGAACCTGCACTTGGTCCTGGGGGGCGCTTCCTGGCTGTTTTCACCGAGGCAGGGGAGCCTGAGAGCCTGGTGCTTAGAATGTAGCTGTGACCACAGGGCACCACACTCCAGGCTGAGGTGCGAGCCTGTGGCAGGACCCTCGCTGGGAGCAGGGTATGAAGATGCACAGGAGGTGCAGGTTAGGCAACGGTCGTTTTATATGTATGTTTTACTTCCGTATTTATTATTTTGTAGAGCTATTTGTGATTGTTTAGAGTTACTGTTTTTATTATATTTATGTATAAGGTTGACTTTTTAAAATAAATAAGACAAAAATTATTTTTGAATGCCTCTGTCATCTTTTGCAAAGAAAGACAATTTGAAAAGTAAAAATGCTTAAATAATGTAAATTAAGAACAAATTGCGTAGGCGAACAGGTTTGAAGGTGGCAGTGAGCCGTGCCAAAGATGGAATTCTAAATGCAAAGTCAGAGTTCTGTTGGGCTTCTCTGTGGTTCAGTCAGTTAGGGAAATGCAAGACGCATCTGGCTAGGCTTCTATTTAAAATGATTCCTCTCCCCATGTCCACACATGGATGTGCCAGAGGCACTTGGCCATATCGCCTCTTCCTTTTCTCCCGTCGCTCCCCTACCCATAGAGCGCGAGTGAGCCTCGCTCCCGCCCGGCTGTGCTCAGCGCCTCCCGCCTGGTGGTGTCGGGTGTGGTGCCCCTGCCCTGCTCTGATGCCCAGGGGCCCCCGATTCTTTCAAAGCCCAAATGCCTCCATTGGATTGAGCATGCTTTTAATATGAGAAGTGAATGGTGCTCAAAATATAAGGGTGTCTGTGTATTTCTATTAAGTGATAATTATTTTCTTGTCTGAGAACTTTGTTTTATATTTTACTAGAGACCCGATGCACGAAAATTCATGCAAGAGTAGGCCTTCCTTCCCCCAGCTGCCGGCACCGGCTTCCCTCCACCACCCGGGACCTGGGCTGGCTTCCCTTGGGCTGCCTGTAGGCACCCGGGACCCAGCTGGCTTCCCTCTGGCCCCGGCTTCATCAGGAAGGACGTCGTCCGGTCTAATTAGCATATTACCTTTTTATTATTATAGATACTGAATGCTTTGCCCCTAAATGTGGGCTCTTTTATTATTTATTAGATGTACAAAGGAAATAATCTCACAACTTGGTTTTCCACAAACATTTGTGCACATGACAGTCTGCATGAGCTGTCTTTCAATAAGAAATGTTAAAAACTTGGTTTTATAACTTAGATTTCATAGATGCAGTTTTACAACTTTGGCAAATGTGTTGAAACAAAACCTGTGCCTAAGCTGCTCACCCTGAGTCTCCTCCTCAGTGAGCCTGGCTGAGTGGGAAGGGCCACGGGAACTTGGGTGTCCTCGGTGAATGGTGCCCCGTGTGGTTGTAGTCTGCCCTCTGGTTCGCTGTACAGGGCGCAGGAGGCCCCAGGAGTCCTCACGCGGGATCCCCGCTGACAGTTTAAGGTGAAATCTGAGGCTTTAGTCAAGTTACGTCTTTCGAAAAGGTCCTCAGTAGTGAGTCACCAAAGTAAAGTTGAGGCAATAGTGACAGAATTCCTTTTGAACCCACAGCAGGTTCTTCTGGCATGAATTCATAGCCCTCTTCTACCCTTCCAGCCAAAGGCCATTCCCAATGCTCTATGTGGAATTTGTCTGAAGGGTAAGGAGTCCAACAAGAAAGGGAAGGCTGAACCTCTTATACACTGCTCCCAGTGTGAGAACAGCGGTAAGTACCACCTGTCTGCTTGCCGTTTAACCACCTGCTAGTTGTCAGCTAGACTTGCCCCAGAGAGTTACCAAGTATTAAAGGGTCATTTGTAAGGCGTAGGTTAAGTCCATGCATTTTCTTCAACTCTGCATTTTCATTTCTCTTTGATGATCTTAACCATCGTAGCAGCCATTCTTGAGAACTCACAAAGCAGCTAGCATTTTATTAGCCATTTTAAGGTAAACATCCCCTGTGCTTGGTGAATCCTACTAATCTTGGTTTTGGTTTAGGCCATCCTTCTTGCCTGGATATGACCATGGAGCTTGTTTCTATGATTAAGACCTACCCATGGCAGTGCATGGAATGTAAAACTTGCATTGTGTGTGGACAGCCCCACCATGAAGAGGAAATGATGTTCTGTGATGTGTGTGACAGAGGCTACCACACGTTCTGTGTGGGCCTCAGTGCTATCCCATCAGGTAACGACCGCAAACGAAAGGCCGGCCCCTGCAAGGGGATTCTCCCAGCCCCGACCTGAAAGGTGGCACACACGCCAGTGACGTGGGCCTGTGCTGTGACCCCCCCAAAACCGTGCCCGGCCCTCCCAGCCAAGGACACTGTGGTGTCAGGGTGACTAGTCCAGGTTTGGTGTCGAGCTCAGTGCGTAGAATGAGCCCGTTTTCTACTAAAATAGCTAAAGCGACAGCACCCCTTTTTTTCAAAGCCTTGATTTTATTTTCGTATGTCATGGACACAGTTAACAAAATGATTCCTATGCCTTTGGACATTATTGGTCCAGATTTCTATCAATTGAGGCAGCATAACAACCCAGGTAACTTTAGAAGGAACACAAAATTGAAGGATATATCACAGTATCTGGACTGAAACGTCACACGTAATTGTGCAATGTCAGACCTCACTTGCATAGTTGACACGTATATGACGCTGTAAGAAAGAATGCCAGAACCACGCTTCCTGGGAATCACTAAGAAACAAGCAGCTTAGGTAACTACCTGAATCCTGCAGCCATTCAGACAAGCACCGAGGGCAGCTGATCCCCGTGCTGTGGACACTCGGTCAGTTTAAAGCTGTGTCTGCCTCGCCCACCAGGACAAGGTGCTGAGACACAGCTGCCAGTGAGCAGCAGCGAAAGGGCTGAAATGGGCGAGACATAACAGGGTACGTTACGGTGCCAATGGCTGAACTTCCTGAGCCTGTAGTGCTGGGTTTCAGAAAGGGTGAGGATGTCCTAAAGGTCCAGAGCACTGCTCTGCCCACGCCCCCCACCTGACTGTCACTTGGCATTGATGACACTGATTCTCTTCAAAGGAGTTCACATTTTTCTCCTTAAATTAAGGAACGCAGTAGTGCCCTTCCTCCCACAAACCCAGAGGAGCAGCATTAGTGATAGCAAGGAAGGAGAGCTCAATGGGTTTACAGTTCAGTCCTAAAAAAATTCCATTTCATTCTCTATTAACTAACCATTTTTCTCCTAGGTCGCTGGATTTGTGACTGTTGTCAGCGAGCTCCCCCAACACCCAGGAAAGTGGGCAGAAGGGGGAAAAACAGCAAAGAGGGATAAAATAGTTTCTCGACCCCAATACTGTAATATGCATTTAAGTGAATTATTTGGTGCCAACTTATTTCCAATTCTCATTTTTATGCCAATAAAAGATTTTTGAAATGAACTCTGTGCTTAGAATCTGCAAGTTGACTCATTTCTGTTAAAAGCTGCTTGTACCCTGGGAACCAGTTTCAGGTAGAGAAACAGTTCGTCTTCCAAAAGGTGGTTTCTCTCTTAGTATCATGGCTTCTTTGGAAATTCAGAGGGAAGTATTAGGCAATTTCATTTGAAATAATTATTCCTCCATTGGCCTGGAAGTTGCGATTATTCTTAGGCAGTTTTCCTAATCTTTATTGTTTCTGGCCTACCATGGGGACCACGACATGGTTTAGTAATGGGAGACTCACAATAGGCAGGCGGAGAGCTGGGCTGGGGAGCAGCTGGGTGAGAATGTCATTACCGCCAGGAACACCGGCCCTAGCTGGTGTGGCTCAGTGGATGGAGCGTCAGCCTGCGGACTGAAGGGTCCCAGGTTCAAGACTGCTCAGGGGCACATGCCTGGGTTGCGGGCTCGGTCCAATGTGCAGGAGGCAGCCGATCAATGATTTCCTCTCATCATTGATGTTTCTGTCTCTCCCTCTTCTTTCCTCTCTGAAATCAATAAAAACATATTTTTTAAAAAAAGCCAGGAACACCTGCTGGGCAGGCAGGCCCTCCCTCGGGGTGGGCGGGCCTCAGTCCCTCCTGCCAAGGGTGCAGACTGGCTCACACACTGGAACTTTAGAGACTCACGGGTGACCACGCTGTCCCGCTCTTACTCTGCTCCGCGTGGGGCTGCTGTTGCGATTTCTTCTACATAAACCTGAGTCCCCGCCGCCTTCCTGCTCCGCCACCTGACCGCTGGTGCAGGGGAGTGGAGGCATTTACTGTGCACACGACTCTCACAGGAATTCTGGGCTTTAAGAGAAAACAAGTACCGAGCTTTCCGCTTCTCCTGCGTGTGGGGTCACTGAGGTAACACGCTGTATGGCTTTATTTCCCGTCCCACCTGGGACGGGGGTGTCCGGCTGGTCCCACCCTGGACGGGAGTTTCCGGCCGTCACGGTCGGCGCGATGGGGGCCCCGCGCCCGATCAGAACAGGATCTCCAGGAGCAGCTTCAGGACGCCGAGGAGGATGGTCCAGAGCAGGGACTCCTCCTCCTGCGACGCGCCCTCCGGCTCGTAGGCGTGCGTGTGCCCTGCCTCCGCGCCGTCCGAGTACGCGGGGTCCCCGAACGGGTGCCGCTGGACCGTGCGGTCGAAATACACCTTCATCTCGAACTCGCTGTCCCG